ATTGTTGATGACTAAGGATCCATGAGAGAGCATTACAAATGACTCAAGTTCTTTATATAGAGCATCCACAAAACAAGGGTGGAATGCTAAAAAACAACCAAAATTGTAAAAAAAAAAAACACATTTTATGAATTAAAATAGTAATCTCGTTTTTGGGCCAAATGACTAAAATACCCTTTAGCACTTTTCAACAAATGACAAAACCATCTCTCTAGGGGGCCCTCTAGCCATTGCTAGGCCTCGAGAGTTTTTTTGGATGCTTATGGTGCTAATTTGAGCGATCAATAGTCATAGAATCGATGCTTGAACTATTATGCACGTTTTGATACCCTTTGATAATCTAGAAACAGATTTTTAAGGAAGAACCCAAAATCCGGTCAAGTTCCATAAACTTGTGATTTTTTTACCACCAATCTGGAATGATCTATGACATTCTAGGCCTTCTTTTTTTTATCACAACTTAAGGAGGACACTATCATGATCATTTTGTGATAAATTTCGTCCATTTTGATATCTGTTTGAGCATGTTCTAATTTTGGGAAGTTACCGACAAATGGGATTCCGACGACCGAAAAAGTATGTCATTTTCCATCTCAAAATTTATATCATCCGGCTTCCAACCGTTCACAAAAACTATATCAAACTGTAGCTCTTTGAAACACGGTCGCACCGGACCCATACTTACAACGATCCGATATCGGGATCTTGAGCTATGGGCTCTTAAAGAATTGGATATTCTTCTTTACGAAATCTAAAATTTCATGGTTCGAGCACATATTCTCTCTAGAAATTATCTCGCTCTGGGCTACACCATGACGCGGTGTCATATGTCAAAACTAGTGGGTCATCGAGATCTAGCTCGTGTTCGAATTTTAGCTTAATTGGACTAAAACAAGCAAGTTATGAGCATTTAAAAATCATCATGAAATGAGAAAACACAATTTCCATAAATAGAAATTGGACCACTAAGGCTGCACCGCAATAGTATAAAACCCACCATTTTGTGGTAAGTTACACTTGGAATAGTCCCCGAAGGTTCGATTGAGCCGAAATTTGGTACCTAATGGTTTTTCGATATCACGGATGCAATGGTGGTAGTGTTATACTATTTTGAGAACCATCGAATAGGGATATAGTTATAGGATCCATTTTCAGCATGATAAGAACTGAATTTGAAAACCAAGTTTTATCCTGATCATATCAAAACTTGTCAGAAAGCGACACTGCTTTGTGGGTATCCTTAAGGTATCCAAAACTACCAATTCATGCAATTTGAGGCCATTTTGACACTTCTTCAGAGGTCACCCAAATTTAGGCTTATTGCAATAGTGTTCCCGTATATAGAATTTTAGAAAGAGATAGAAAGTCTTTTAAGAAATTTAATTATGCCCCACACTATTTTGTGGTAGTTCTTTCATTGTATATATAATGGTAATACAATTGTTGAATACATACTTTCCTATCCTGTTACATGCAATATACACTTTCTTGTTATATTCTCATCTCAAAAGGAAATGACAATGTTTCTGTTGTGGCCTTTCTAAAAACTAGAATTGGATATTGTTTCTATTACTCCCCCTCAAACTCGTCAAAGGAGGCATTTGAAGCTCGAGCTTGAAGCAAATATCTCGAAAAAACTTCTCGTGGCAAAGGCTTGGTGAAGATATCGGCTACTTGATTGCGAGAGTAAACAAAATGAGTGATAAGTAATCCAAGAGTAACTTTTTCACGCACAAAATGATAGTCTAACTCAATATGCTTTGTCCGTGCATGAAAGACATGATTAACTGTCATATAAAGAGCACTAATATTGTTACAAAAAAGTGTTGGTGGCTGAGGAAGAGGCAACCCAACGTCCCAAAGAACCAAAGAAAGGCATGTCAATTTTGCTGCAATGGACACCATAGATTAGTATTCCATTTCAGCATGAGCCATAATCGACTGTTTCTTAACACTTCAAGATATGCAGTTAGAACCAAGATAGATGCAGAAACCAGTAGTTGAAAAACGTGTAGTTAGAAACCCAACCCAATCTGCATCAGAGATAACATATAACTCAAGGGAACTGACAGATAATATTCTTAAACCACAAGATTGTGTACCATTGAGATAATGAATAATCCGTTTAGTAGCCTGAAAATGTGCAATTATAGGGGCATGCATAAATTGACATATTGTATTAACACTATAGGAAATTTCTGACCGTGTTATGGTAATGTATTGGAGCGCACCAATAGTGCTCCGATAAAGAGAATGATCAGGAAATGAATCAGAGTTCCCATGAATATTATTCTTTATTGCCACTGGTGTTGAAATAGGTTTGACACCAAGCATCTGCGCACGATCAAGAAGATCTCGGGCATATTTACTTTGTGAGAGAAAAATTCCACTTGAAAAATAAGATACCTCTATGCCAAGAAATTAGTAAAGAGGTCCAAGATCTTTCATTGCAAATTCCTTTCCAAGTTTAGAAATGAACAATTCTAGAAGATCTGAATTATCACCAGTAATAATAATATCATTAACATCAAGGAAAAATATAATAGTGCCTTGAGTAACGAGAAACAAATAGAGACGAGTCAGCTATATTGCAATAAAACCCATATGATAATAAATAGGCACTAAATCGATCAAACCAGATCTGAGGTGCTTGCTTGAGACCACATAAAGCTATTTTTAATTAGCAAATATGATTTTGATATTTTGAGCTCACAAATCCATGAGGTTATTCCATAAGAAAGCCATGCAGGAAGTAATTTTCACATCAAGTTGTTTGATAGGCCAGTGGCGCACAATAGCTATGGTGAGCACAATCCGGAAACTAGCAAGCTTAATAACAAGACTGAATATTTCAGAGAAATTAATTCCAGCAATCTGATTATATCCTTTAGCAACTAGTTTGGCCTTAAGTCTCACTATACTTCCATTAAACCTTAATTTAGTCTTATAGACCCAACGCCAACCAACAACATTCATACTTGGAAGATGTGGAACGAGCTCCTAAGTTGAATTAACATGTAGGGCTTCAATTTCTTATTCCATCGCATGAAGCCGACCTGGACGACTCAAGGCATAATTAATTATTTTAGGCTCTGAAGGGATAGCTTTAACAGTATGAGCTCTTGAAATTGCTGCCATGGAAGGGAGAATCTGTAGTCTTCGAGTATCATCTTGAGATCTTGTGACCATGTGATGATGACGATGCTCAGAGGCTGATAACAAATTCAATTGGTTGGTTTCTTAAGTGACAACATTTTCATCACCATGATTGTGTATTGGATCATCCTAGACATCTTGGATTGGTGTTGCAGATATCTTCCTTCACAAGAGAAGTTAAAGGACTATCATTAGTGATGGGCAAAGTAGGACCTGAAGAGCCAGATACATCAAGGACTTTCTGCATTGGTAGTTTATGTGGAGGTGATGAATCAAAAAATGAAAGAGTTTGTATGTCAGACTCATAACAATCTAATCATTCTGCATAGGTGGAAAGCTTGCTCCTGAACCTAAGCACTATCAAACAAAGAATTGGAGTTAACATAAAGAAAAGTATTTTCATCAAACACAATATGTTTAGGGATATAGACTCGGCCTGTGGGTGGATGTAGACATCTGTAGCCCTTAAGCCTAAGAAAACACATGGAAGAGAGTGGGGACTAAATTTATTTGCAGCATAGCCTCGAAGATATGGAAAACCCCAACAACCAAATACTCAAAGAGAGAAGTAGTCTGGTAACAGTTCAAACAATAATAAGTATGGTGAATCTATCTTTAAATTGGTTGAGGGAATTCTATTGATAACAAATACTGCAATATGAAGGCTTCAACCCAAAAACGTTTAGGAATTCATATATGAAACATCATTGTAAGACCCAATTCTAAAATATTTCTATATTTCCTTTCAGCTATTTCATTTTGCTCAAGGGTTCCCGGACATGATAAATGTTGCATGATTCCATTGTCATTGAGATGAGCAATAAATTCTTTCTTAGGAAATTCACCACCTCCATCACATTGAAAAACTCGAATTCTTTTATCCGTCTAACAACTAACACAAATTGAATGATACTTGTTTCATGCATTAATATTAATCAATTCTTTAGATTCTAAGTAACAAACAACTTTATTTTGAGGATGTCCAAGACATTGATGCCACATATCTTCTGACATTAAAGCTTGTTTCACTTCTTCAAGTGCACACAATACTCCCTTTCTACTCTTGCTGACCAGAGTTCTCCCTATGCTCATTTCTTTAATTAGAAAACCATTAGTTGAGTACTAAAAAATACAAGGGACATCTGTTGTAAATTGGGTAACAGATAATAGGTTCTTTTTCATTTAAGGCACCACGAAGATATTAGAAATATTGAATCTTTCAGAGCCAATAACAATATTTGTATCACCGTCATGTGAACATAGTTAATTGTTCACCATTCCCAACCTTGACTCTATCTATTCCTCCATAGGGATGAAGATTTTGTTGCTTGCTTGGATCTCCTATCATATGAGTGGAGGCACATGTGTCCGAGAACCATTTTGAGTCTTGTGAATTAGATATAGTCATTGCAGCAAGGGCCCTCGAGAGTTGAAGAAACGTTGACAACCAATGTTTGTTATCCACTTGCCTTTGTATTTTTGGTTACATTTGTTAGATCCAAAAAAATTTTGTTGTCCAATAAAGGGCATATTTCGATTTGGATCTAAGAGTTATTTATAGACATGAGGCTGATTTTGAATCTCATGACTTTAAAGAAAAGGTATAATTTCATAATAAGAAATAACCAAAGGCTTAAGCTTAGTGGTAGCAAAACTCTCATATTTTTTACCAAGTCGATTGATACGCCAAAAAGCCTTATTTTCATCTATTACAGGTTTTTCCAATAGCTGCCAAATCATCACATATACTCTTGAATTTGCATATGAATTCTGATAGGGTTGAACTCTCTTTCTTGTAGAGTTGCAGTTGCTGGTAAGTTGGAACTCTCAAGCCTGAGAATTACCTGCATAGGTATTCTTCAGGCATTTCCAAACTTCTACAGAAGTCTTGAGGCCAACAATAAGGCCAAGACACTCTTCTGATAATGTCCATGTGATCCAAGCTTTAAGAAACCAGTCGGACTTCAACCATGATTTGTAATATGAGTTTTCGATTTCATTCTTACTATCAGGAGAGGAAATCTTTTGACTTGGTGGTAGGGTAATCACTATTAATAAATCCAAAAAGCTCATGACTCTCAATGAGAGAGAGCATTTGAGTTCCCATAAGAGATAGTCGTTCTGTGTAAACTTAATAGACACAAAGTTTCCTATATTAAGGATGGAAGGATATGGATATATTTGTTTGACGATGATAAAGTATCCATTGGAGCGAATATGTATTTGAAGGGAGAGGGTGAGAGAGTGAACTTGAGGATCTTTTTTTATAGAGAAATTGGATACGCAAGAGAGGGTGATATGGGTTGTGCGTGACTTGGTTATTAGGGTAAGAAATAATATAAAAATTGGAGTCGGTTTTAATGTTGATGGAGGGAGTGGGTTATTTAAGGACGTGAGGTTTAAATATGTGAGAGATAAATAGAGGGAGTTGGATGTGCGATGGGATGAAGCTTAAGAAGCCAAGAGAGTGAAACGGTGAGGTGAGGAGAGAGTCTTTAATGGCCAGAAGGGAAAAATAAAAATAAAAAAATGTGAGAGGCAAAAGTGGTGCAAGGAAAAAAAAAAAAGAAGAAGACGATAATGGCTTAATAAAAATAAAAGATGAGTCAAGATGAGGTTGCTGCCGACTTTAGATTGAAAAACTACTTCAAAATGAATTGCTGAGAGGTTCGGTGATGACTATATAAAATTTTAGGGAGAGAGAGCAACTCTTTTTTAAAAAAAAATTGTGTCCCACACTATGACAAAAGAAATATAATATAAGGTGCCATGCATTTGCCACAATTTATGAAATCTAACGTCTCAAACTACATTATAATGAGAGAGACGTGAGTTGAGTGATATGGAAGAAGGCCTTACGTGTGGGCTTACGTCATCTAACCACCAGGGTTACTAATTCCGTGAACAATTTACATTTATTAGTGGACAAGCCGTACAAGATTTTAGCGGATACGCTATACTATATTTGGTTTAATTAAATTAAGCAAAGGAAAATGGATTGATAGGGGAAAAGAGGCTGGGTCGTGGTGTTAGCACCCGAATACCTAGTTTTGAGTTTCATTGACACCTGCTAACTCCTAATTTATTTAATAAAACGGGTAAGGATCTTTCTTCTCCACCTAATTACAAAAAAAACAAAAAAATAAAAAAAAAGAAAGGGTTGGCTTCAACCCAATCAAAATAGATAAAGACTCATTTTATAACTCATCGAAAATTGCAATTCAAGCATGGAAAAACTCTTAGAATGATTATCTTGACTTGAGACATTATGGTTGTGAAAAAATTTAAGATATCAAATTTTAAAAATAATGCCTATTGTGACAAATTATTTAGACTTTTTATTTCACATTAAAAATAAGTATTTCACAAATTCACAAGATCTGTACTATTTTTCGAACTTCAAATTTTAATATCGATGTTAAAAATTAATTTTAAACAACCATGAAGATTTTCATTGCCAAAAATGCTTTTGTGAAAATTTTTTGAAGGGGAGCTTTATTTTTTTTTCATAAAGCATATGCCTTATAAAAACTTCATCCTTTAACAATCGGTTCTTTTTTTTTTTTTTTTTGGAGGGTACGGGCTTATTTACATTGGAAGACTACAAAAAAAATCTTGGAAAGGAAACTTTTTAGACAACTTATCTTTAATCAAGTTTTTATTAATAACCTTTACTTCAAATTGACCATCTTAACAAAGTAAAAAAAGTAATATTTTATTTTTTTTTGATAAAAATAAAATAAAATATTACTAGACCGCCCCCATTTTTTTTGCGGACAATTCCGATTTTATGTTGAACTGCATGCTCAAAGTGTCAAACTACCCTTATTTTTTGTTGGACGGTATGCTTTTTAGAAACCTAAAATATTGGACCGCCTATATTTTGTGCCGAATTACATGTTCAAAATACCAGACTGCCCCTATTTTGTGCCGAACAACCCCATTTTGTGTTGCATGCGGCACCACCCCATTTTGTGTTGCATCAAATGCTTTCAAGAAGATATTTTAGTCTTTATTTTTTTTTTTTTGACTTGAGGGGCATTTGTTAAAAAAATTTAATTTGATGTAAAAAGAAGTTGTCTAGAAAGTATTGGTTTTTTAATTTTCCCAATTTTCATCTCATAGTTGCTCTTTCTTTGACTTCCTTCCTAGTTTTCTAAATTTTGTTTACGTTTGACTACTCTACCAGTGAATGAGTCGTTAACTTCTTGCGCACGCAAGTAAAATATAGCGTGCGAGCCTCCTCAGCCCGCTCTGACAGGCAGCAAACGTCCCGGCCGTCCTACCCTGAAATATTAAAATAAGACAAGACGTATATAGGCTGAATGCTTCATCTAAATACTAGCCACACCACACCACACCACATAGATCTATCTCCAAGCAAGCGACTCTGGAGTTCTCTCCATTGCTTTAGCTGAAAGAGTTTTGAGGATGGTTATGGAGGGCGAGGGAGAGTCAGAGCAGAGTCACAATGTTGTGTTATTCCCATTTATGGCTCAGGGCCACATGATACCTATGCTCGACATCGCGCGGATGCTTGCGAACCATGGGCTCGCCGTGACTCTGGTCACCACCCCTCTCAATGCGGTTTGGATCCGGACGATCTTGGATCGTGCGGCATCGTCAAGCTGCAGGGTGCGTGTTCTTGACATTGAGTTCCCTTGCGCAGAAGTGGGCCTGCCAGAAGGTTGCGAGAGCGTGGACCTTCTGCCTTCGAATGATTTAATGATCAATTTTTTCCGGGCCACCGAGTTGCTCCAAGAGCCCTTTGAGAAGCTCATCAGACAGGAGGTGGAGAATCCCCTCTGTATCATCTCGGACATGTTCCTCGGGTGGACGGTGGAGACGGCGAAAGTCCTCGGCATCCCGAGGATTGTTTTCCATGGGACCAGCTGTTTCAGCTGTTGTTGCTCATCCTGCATCCATGAAAAGAAGCCTCACATCAACGTGGGCTCAGACACCGAGCCCTTCATGCTGCCCGGCTTGCCACACGACATAAGCCTCACCAGAGCCCAGCTGTCCGAGTTTAGTAAGGGGAATTCAGAGTTGATGGCTGCTGGGTTTAGCAGAGTTTTAGAGGAGATGAGGCGAGCGAATTCCCACAGTTACGGTTCTATTGTGAATAGCTTCGAGGAGCTGGAGTCGGAATACGTGAACCATTACAGGAACGTGGTGGGGATGAAGGCGTGGCCCATTGGGCCGGTATCCCTTTGCAACCGAGACCAGATTGACAAGGCAGAGAGGGGAAAGAAGGCCCCTGTCGACGAAAGCGCGTGCCTAAGATGGCTCGACTCGCAGAAGCCAGAGTCGGTCGTGTATGTATGCTTCGGAAGCTTGTGCCGTCTTGCCCCGCAGCAGCTAACAGATATCGGACTCGGCTTAGAGGCCTCCGGGCTGCCGTTTATCTGGGTATTGAGAGGGGACAGAGAGCAGGTGGACCAGTGGCTGCCCGAGGGCTTCGAGGAACGCGTGAAGGGCAGGGGAATGGTAATCAAAGGATGGGCGCCGCAGATCCTGATCCTCTCACACCCAGCCACCGGAGGGTTCGTGACGCACTGCGGCTGGAATTCGACGCTGGAGGGCCTGACTGCGGGGCTCCCAATGGTGGCATGGCCACTTAATGCGGAGCAGCCGATGAACGCAAAGCTGGTGGTGGACGTGCTGAAGGTAGCGGTGCCAATCGTCTTCGACACCCAAGGAGTGGTGCCGAAGGAGGCGGTGGAGCAGGCGGTGTCGGAGATGATGGGGAATGGTGAGATGAGGGGGAGGGCGAGAGAGTTGGGGGAAATGGCGAGGAGGGCAGTGGAGGAGGGAGGGTCGTCTTATATGAACCTCACCCTCTTCATTCAGGATATGATCGCTTATAAGAAGGCGCGCACCATGGACACCGCTCCTGTTTGTGATTCTCCTCCAACCTGTACTTCATCTAAATGAAAAGGTGGATTATTCACCATCAGAATTTCGACAGAGGCATTACTGTCGTTGATTTTTATGATGTACTTTTTCGTAGTGACTTATTAAAGTATAGATTGCTTGTAAAGCCAAGCCAAAAGATTTCACTTCTAAGGGATTTTTGTGATGTGCTTTTGTTTTGTACTGAGTTATTACAATCCCTATGGGCTTAAAAAAAAAGTTTTATTCTTCTATGTAAATCTGCATCTAGATGTGTTTCTAGCACTCTAAATTTTGAGAATCTATTCTCTTAAACACTTGTATAAAGGTCGATAGATTTTTTTCAATTTACAGTCCCTATGGGCTTAAGAAAAAAAATTTATTCTTTTATGTAAAGCTGCATCTAGATGTGTTTCTAGCACTCTAAATTTTGAGAATCTATTCTCTTAAACACATATAAAAAGGTCAATAGATTTATTTCAATTTACAATCCCTATGGGCATAAAAGAAAAAAAAAAAAAAACCATTCAATTTGATTTAAAAATCTCAAAATTTAAATAATTTCTTTAAGAGATTATAATAATAAAACTATTTATCTTTGTTACAAAGAGGTCACAATTGTCACTAGTTATCAGAATTGGATGGCTTGGAGTGTGAAACAATATTCAAGATTTTTTTTTTCTTTTAAACTTTGAGTCTCTAACTTTATATCAAATATCTTTGACATAAGTAATCAAATCTTATTGTATAGGCCTCATATGTAGGGAAGCTCTTGGCTCACTCCCTTAAGTGTCTTTGTTTCAGAGTTTCCATGTTTGCATGTTAGGTAGGCAACCAATCCCATAACAGGCAGTTTGTAGGCACATCTAACTAGCCTTATGGGTTCAATCCCATCCGTGAAGGCTTTGTGCAGCTTTCGGGCTCAATGCACTCTAGAGTGCTTTGCAACATAAAAGTGAAAGTTGAATAAACAAAGAAAACTTGGAAAGAAAGAAAAAAAAAACAAATTAATGCAAACAAAAAAACGAATGTGCTTTGAGTTTAATCAATAATACGCTCACAATCATCCGATTTGAAATCTAACAAATAAAAATGTCTATAACTTCCTTGTATTAAAAATAAATAGTCTTTGCATATTTTTTTTTATTTTAAACGTAATCTTGTAGTAGTTTTTAGTGGCT